CAAAATATGCATACATGCAGTAGATATAGTCATGTACTAAATATACAAAAATAACGAAAATTAAACGACAGGAATTTTTTGGGGTAGGTGTGTTGTACATCCTTAAATCAATTTTATGTTCTTTTTTGCTATACATAATCAAAAAAAAATCATAATATTTTGGTTAATTGCAAATTGTTTTATTACATTTTGCGTTGTCTTCAATGCAAAAATACATGTAAATAACGCAAAACGTAACAAAAAAATGCACATTATTACATTTTGCGTTGATCTCGACGCAAAATGCAATAACGCAAAATAAAAAATAACGCATAATTTAAAAATCATGTTATTACATTTTGCGTTATTACATTCTGCATTGATTTCGACGCAAAATGTAATAATTTGCATTTTTGTTAGGTTTATTACATTTCGCGTTGTAACAGAGCTCAACAGATAATAAAACGATAGCTATGTTGGTGTTCGTATCCTATACAACACATTGTGTAAACAATATTGCATTTGATCTAAACTGGGTATTGATAAATTCAAATGAGCCGTTTGTGTAAAAAGAACATTAGGATTCTTACGTTTTTTATGCAGCTTATTATTTAAACAAGATTTTGAGGATCGTGAGAACTAAATGTTTAAAGATTTTCCATCGTTACCCGCAGAATTTTTTAAGGAAGTTAGAAAAACCAACAAACTATACGTATCTATTTAACTATAAACTTAAACAGCGAAGAATTTTAACAAGCATAAAATTGTTATATAAGAAAAAAAAAAAAAAAACGGCGAACAAACCAAAATTTGATTTGTTATTGAGGATTATTGAAGCCTCATATGACCACATTTAAGGTAGGATTCTTCTCTGGTTTCTGACTAGATGAAACATTCAAAGTATATTTGCTTATTTGTCTTATATATTGAGATGTAAGGAATTTAAAAGACCATATTTTTCTTTCCTCATCACAATTGTACAACTTTAAATAGAAATGGTAAACTGCGTTTGAAAACTAGCAGGGACTATATTTTTGGCGGAATGGTGGCGTATGAAAATATCTTCTTTTCTGCCTCTCAAAATCATAATAGCACAATGAATTTAGTTATAATTTTTACACAATCGAAGACTTGGAAAAATTTTCAAATGTAAGTTAAATTAATAATGAGGGACTAAACTTTCAAAATTTGTCAAATGAATATGATTTTTCAAACAAACTAGAACTTTATTAGCTTTTAAACGCTTCCTAACAAAGTGAAGATTTGAGCCAAAAATCTATAAAAAGTATTTTTTCTTTCTTAGTAAACGATCAAAACTTTTTGTTTTTGTATCATTTTGTACATTTGTAAGACTACTTTATTATATGTGAAAATAAGAAAAAGTTAAATATAGGAAGCATATGAAAATAACTAATATATCCTAAGAAATTATGAAAAACAGAGAAAATTCGGATGAGCTAATATCCAGTTAAATTATTTATGTAAATTTTGTAATATCATGCTATAGACCAGATATAGTCGTGTGTTTTTATGCAAAAAGAACAATCATTAAACTTTTGAAATAGAAGTAGGTATCACATGATTGGCAACAGTTCTCTTTTATTCTTAATGTCAAGGAAAAAGATAATGACCTTGACCTGACCTTGCCTCTAATATAAAACGGTCAAATTTAATTTCACTGATACTATCACTCACTGATATTGTCTTCTTGATTCTGTAAAAATTTCATTAATTTTTAAATATTAGAAATATGAGAAGAATCCTACCTTAAAAGACAGAATACAAAATTTCCTTTTGTAGATTATTATATAGATATTTCGTTTTTCACTTCCTCTTAAAAGCGAGATTGTACCATAATTAGAACAAATTGCCCTTTGGCAATATGAACAACTCGATATTGCCTTATGGCAATATGAAAAACTCGATATTGATTACAGTTGAACCAGTATGTCAGTAATGCATCTAACTGTGAACATAATTTTATGTATATTCCTCTTCTTTCACATTTGTAGGAGAAATTTTAGTCAAAACTATCAAATTAAAGTATATAGCAAAAAGATGTTGATAAGAAACTGAAATGATCGAACTCAATAATAGCATTAAGTTTTGATGCAGTGATGTATTTTTACAAGTTTTATGTCAAATGTATTATTAAGGCCGAATTCAGTTTGTATGTATAAATTCACCTTTAATAGCTACATCCAGTTTCTTTAAAATGATAGTAAGTGCTTATTGAATGACATTAAGAATTAAAATATTTTTATTTTTGTAAAAAAAAACAAAAAACAGTCATCTACTTGTAACAAACAATACTGAACTGTTTCATTGATAATAAGGATTTTTCCAAGGCTTGACTTTGCCTGTTCTTTTCTAACTCTTTCAAATCCTTACAGACAAATGACATTGTAACGATACAGTACATAAAACTATTACCACCATATTCGTACTTACCCGTAAAGAAGTTCAAACTTTGACGTTAACTAAGCACTAAAGTCATTGAGCAGTGAGGGATTTTTTTTTTCTTCCTCGGTTTTAAGGTCTTATCCAAAGGACCCGCGATTTTCACTTCAATGTGCCGAGCGCATGCCGAGTGAACAGTTATAACTATTTTTAATCGAATTAATTCTTTTCTAGCTCAGAGTCTAACTAAAACATCTTTATCTGCTTTATGAGTATTACGTTAAATGGGATAAGACACACGATACGGAGACGCTTTTCATCTGTCGATGGGTCGATTCAGACGAATTTCAATATGTTATTTTTACCGGCTACCAATATGCGGTTATATTCCTATGCGCGTATTTTCTGCTGTATTATCTTCTTTACATATCTTAACCTCAAGTATGAAACGGCAAGAGAAAAAATGGTAAAAGTACAACACATAGGAATGTTTCATTTCCTGTATATTGTTTGATTAAATTTTATCAATACAAACATGATAAAATGGACATTAAAGATAATAAAAGAAATTTTGATAGATGAAAGAAACAGTGACTTAAGAAAACATGGTATGCTTAATCGTTCAGATATCACTAAATCAGTGAAATTTACATTAAACTTTTAATTGGAATTCTGCATAACTCTTTCAGGTATTCTCCTTTTTATATAAAATGTTTTTACCATTGCAAAAAAATTAGTACTACAGATTCTTTATTTACTGGCGAATAATTATTAACGCTAAATGGCTCTTTAATATAATGTCAAATCGCAAATAAGGTTTGAGGTGATTTTATTCTGCGCGTGGCGTTTCTTTCAAAATTACGTAATAAACTAGAGGTACTGTGAGCAATGAGCTCCCTAAATGATAACTCCATCCTCCCATATCGTTATAATGGCAAAGTCCCTGCTTTGCTGTGGCTGGGAAACTCAAAATATGTGTCATATCAAAAAGTAAAATAGGAGGTGCACAATGGCAATATGTAATAAATATTCTGTGGAAGTTTCATTAAATTTCACCAAGTGGTATAAGAGGAGTTGCGGATAAGAGATGAGTACCCCAAAGCGAAACAGACAGAAGGACGGATAGGCGTACAGACAGACGGACGGACATACCGATTACAGTATACCCTTTTCAAGCGGGGGGTGTAATAATTCCTCGCGTATATTTAGGAATCTTCAGTATATTTTTTTTTCATAGTATCACTATGTTAAAGGTCACCTAAAAATTATTATTGTTGTCACTATTTAATGTCTATGATACGCTTTACCTTCAATCTATTTGAGGAGTATAAATGTTTAAGCATGTAGTATTAGATATGGCTCCATTAATTTATGGTTGGGTATTTTTGCTTAAAAATGAAATTTAAATCTTACTGCATGAACTTGAAAACAAAAAAATCAATCATACCTTGACATATATTTGCATACGCACATCTCTTCATGTTATTGTAGAACATTTGAAATCAAAAACAAATGCAAAAATATAAATATGCTTTTTAAAGAATATTTCACACTATTCATACATATACAGATATTTTGAACATTCAATCGTTTGCTGTTCTTGCGACAATCTAACATGCCATAACATAATTATCTTTAAGCGCGATGACGCATCTTAAGAAATCAGTCGCTATCAATAAAAGTCAAGTATTTAAGTGTTAACGATAACCATGAACTTTTATAAAAACATGTTCAAACTTAATGTAGACACGCACCAAACTATCACGGAATTAAGCCACAGAACTTTTTGCAATGATCCTTTAATTATTTGTTTTGCACTTTCATTGCAATTCGATAAGCCAGGTGGGGGAATCATAAATAAAATATTTGTAATTTTAGAATTCGAACGGGTTCTTTATGACCAAAAAATATAATGTGAAATCAAATATTTCAATGATATATAAATGTAAATTCCGATGCTGACAGTGACAAGTCTCGATAATTTGTGTCCTTGAAAATCTTTCTGAAAGCCTTTTTAAGATACGAGGGCTGTTCGGAAATTATTGAGACATTGTGTATATTTTGCTTTTTAATGAACGTCTTTCGGTGAAAATTTGCATGTACGTTTGAAACACACTACGAATTGATACAAGCAAGAGATATTTTAGAAATATTAAATATTTTCTTTAATATATTTATATATTTATTAGCTTTGCACCTAGGAAATATTGATACTTAGAAGTGCCTGACGCCGTGACGTCAGGCAACAATGTCGAAGAACATATCTATACTGAGCACCAATTAATAAAATAATTTGCATGTACTCTAGAAAAATCGAGAATAAATAACGAACATGCTGAAGAAGAGAAACATGAAGTGGTGTACAAATGGCGTAGGAGGTTGTGAATGTATGATATCAGTGTTGGTATCAGTCGAAAAGATCTGTATGAAATCAAACTATCCGTAAAATTCGGTCTGATTAAAATATCTGAAAACATATTGAATCATGGAATAAAAATTATGAATGGAAGCTATAATCCGCTAATTATAATCAACAGTAAAATCAATTTGAACGTGCGAGTAACAACGTACTCGTTTAATTCGATATTGTATTTTTCTAAACTACATTTATAATACAATACCTTGCATTTGGCAGTTTCGTCTTTATGTTCGTATTGGCCGCAACGGAAAACTATCTGGAAAAATGTAGTTTCTTATTAATGTTTTTTAACAAGATAAAACAAGACCAAAAATTATCTTGAAATAAGATAAGACTGTTGTTAAAATTATTTACATATTAAAACATTGAAAATTCCTGAAGTATTGGGTATTTTAATTTTTATCTGTTAAATGATAAACAACAGATCTGATATGATCTCAAGTGTTTGATTTTATAGTTAACCTTTGCAGTGCTATTATTTGACAAATACTTAAGAAAGCATTTCAGGACGAATTAAAAACTCGTGTCTTACGTAAAACGCATGATGTATCAGTGCTATTTAGGTACATTTTTACGGAAAAAAAATGTCACGACCTGTTGAAACGTACATTTTCATTAAATGATATTATTATATTGCGTTAGCATATTGCTACATGTACTTGTATCCCGAATCGTTTATCTTACAGAAGATTTGGATTAATTACGTGGACTCTGATTTCCACGCAGATAATATTATTATAAGCGAGGTTAAACAGGATGTCATACGCATGCGTCAGGTTACGCATGTGCGAGAGAAGAAGAGAGGCCTCTAAGACAACTTGCTCGTATAATAAAAACTTTTGCCGTACAACAGTCCGGATAAACGGAACTGAGTAAGCAGTTTGCATACATTCCTTGAGCAATAACTATTCTATCAGTTATGTAGGCCTTTCAACTAATTTTTCAACTTGCACATATGAAAAAAAAAAACATTGCATAGACAGGTTTATAGGTACATGATAATATCAAAAAATATAATAACTTATGCATACTTTTAATTAAATCATTATAATATTTAATATTTTATAATTGGCTTTTACGATGTTGTGTTTTAAGGACAGGTAACTCAGGTGTGAAAAATGACAAACTAAGTGCCGAATTATGAGTTATCGTTTATAGGAATGACATAAAGGCTGCTTCGGCATTGGTATTGTTATGCACACAAAAGGGTTCCTTACATCGTTTTGTACACAAAAGTGTTGACCAAAAGAAGTAGAACGCCTACACTCTACCTGAAAGAACAGGGTCGAATGAATGGAAAACAGACTATATTCAATATTTTTAAATCTCTTTGACGACTGTAGAAAATATTATTTCATGTTTTTTGTGTTCGCGCTTTTTCGCTTCCTATATAAAAAAATTGTATTTTTACAAGTAAATGCAACAATTGATTATGTTACTAAGCACGAAGGGGAACGACCGAGTATAAAAATCTAATCAGGTTAGAACTAAGAAGGAGGGTAGATTTCACTTTTTATTTTAATTAAAAATTTTAAATACATGATGTTAAACGGTGTCCGCAAACACACAGCAAATAAGTTTAGCATTGGAGCTAAATTTTAAAACCACTGGATTCTACTGACAGCAGGAAATGCTAAAAACTGACTTGCATGTAAACAGTAAGATACCTCGGGCTTGCTTTAAACAAGTTTCAGCAGTGACGCGGGTATGTTAAGGCAGCACATGTATTAGATTTCGGCGAATTAAGGTCACACGACACGTTCCTAAAAAATTTATAATTTTTCTTAAGAGATTGTCATTGAAGAATAGGTACTTAAACAAGATCCCTCGCAAAAAATAAGGGTACCTTACCAGCCATTTAGACAAGATACCAAAGGTTCATATTTCTTATATAACCCTTATGGAGAATCCTCTGAACGGCCTATCTCACCATTTTTTGGTGTACCTATATTTTAAAACATTTTGAAAAATAATGTAGAAATCAGAAGAGAATGCCAAATATGAATATTTTTTTTATCTTATTCCAAGAGATACAAAAATTATTATTAAGGAACGTGTCGTCTGACCTTAACACTTTTTTTAATTACATGTAACACTAATAAATCGGAACAGTCATGAATAAAACTTTTACTATCATTATGCATTCTATAGACGTCAATGAGACATATACTACAATAGGCACTATATACACCACGACGTCTCCACGTGACGTCTATTTAATATAAAAAATATAAAAAATGCCTTAATAAAAAAAGTGAAAAGTTCAACACTACCCCGGGGAGAATTAATTTCAATTTGTATTCATAGTTATGTAAAAACATGTACCATGAAAAGCGCTGCTAGAATCCTACTGTCCTATCACAGAAATAATTATTCAACACTTTCGGAGAAAACCTTCCAGAAATTTTTACATTTTCTTCATATTATCGAAAAAAATGCATCAATTCCCGTAAACCATACGATTCTAGCAGCACTTTCCAAAAACAATATAATAAGAACTTTAGACAGAAACAAAAATTAAGTTTTAAAGTATGCGGCGTAGTGTTGAACTTTTGCATCTTTTTTTGTTACGAACGACAGAGGAAAGGCTGATCGGCAAGTAAACACCCTTTCTGCTTTTATTTTACGAAGAAACTGTAGAGTTATATTAGCATATCTTATTCATAAGCTTTATTCCCACATGAATCACACATGATACTCATTCTAAATGCTTTTAAACTCCGATTTCTTGTGTTTGATTACATGAATTTTCTTTTCGTTTCACTTTCACTCTGCTACTGCATGATCAACAGTTATTACATCACGGGTTTGGTATTTAACCCCTGTGATAAATACAGAGACCCTAAAAGGACAAAATTCCGTTTATATTATGCCTCTGTATATTTTGATCCAATTTTACGATTTCAAATCAATCTTTGATATCAATTTCAAGAAATTGTTATCTCTAAAACTTCACGTCATATAGCTTATTATAACGGCATATCATACAGGCAAGTAGAATTTTTGGTTGTAACCTTAACATACCCGCGGAGTTATTATTCATAAAAGCGAACCCTAGCGGCACTTGAAAGGCCTAAGTTATGCAGACACTGACGTATATGTCTTTAATACAATAAATAGAATAGATTTTAGAAAAAAATGTTGTTTCATATGAACACAAAAATTGGTCCATTAATTAAATGGAACAATCGTTATTCATGGCAATTTCAATAGTTTGTTGGAGAAAATTGTCTCCACCACAAAACAGATATTGTCAATCAAAAACTCAAGCATCTTCTTGACGTCAACTTCAATGTACTTCTCTGTGTTCATGTACAATGATTTTAATTAAATTATTTTGCAAATGACCAAAGATAGAATTCACGAAAATGAAAACCTATGGAATATTTCTGAATAAAATTTAAAAATGTATTAAAACAAAAAATATTTGCTATCTTAAAATCGACAAGTGACAAACAACATGTTCAATGGATGTGTATTATTGATACAAAATAATATGGATCGATTTTCTACTAATTATATGCCTAATGAATGATGGTGATTGAATGTAAATCTTAGGGTGAAGAACGGGCGACATTTTTTTTACCATTTAAACAAAGAATATACTAATATCATGATCATTAAAATTTTAGCTGAATGTATCATTATAAGGGAACAAACTGGAGACATTTAAATGCAAAAATAATGATATTGATATTTGTACAATAAAATTTTTAGAAAGTTCTTGAAATGATTTGGTGCAAACTACACAATTCTAACCCACACATACAAGGTCATAAAAGTTGGAAGAAAAATCAATGTTACCCTTAAAATTTCTTCCTAGAAGCAACATAAATTGGAAGTTTTTGAATTAGATATTACATAAAAGAGTTAAGGATAGATCTTTAAGTGCGGATAAATGTCATTGATTATTTTGCCCAAGAGCATAAATAAAATAATCATGGGAATACGTTGATTAAAGGTGATGCAATGTTACGGTCGGTTGCTAAAAAGACAAAACGTTGTTGGTTAAATTGTCAATAGGGTGTATTTTTATATTTAGAGCTATGAAGAAAGGAAACTTTGTATAGTTTAAATTGTCATTTCGTAATCTATGGTCGAGATGATTTAACTAAATTACCCCTCAGAACTAAATAAAATTAATTGATAAAAATTGATAAAACAATGGCAATTAAGAAAAGTTACGCGAATTGGTAGATTAACAGTGATTAAATACTTGATTATACCAAAGATGATTCATTTGATATTGATGATTCCAAACCCAAATAAGGAACTTTTCAATGAATTTGAGAAAGACCTTACTATTTTCTATGGGGAAGCAAAATTCATAAGGTTTATAAAAAATGTTATAATCCAAGACTATAGAAATGGGGCTTTAAAATGATTGATTATATGGATTTCTTATGTGCATTAAAATCAACTTGGATCCGACGACCGATTTACTCAGATAGACAGATACAAAATGGTTATTTTTTTTAAATCAGAATCAGAGATGAAAATTTAAACTCTGTGGGTAAGAGGTTTAGATTTTAACTGTTTATATGTGTAATAAAATAAGTAACAAATTTTGGAAAGAGATTTCCTTAATTTGGTAAAAATCATTGACAGCGGTGGTAGTCAAAATATATGTAATATTCAAATTCTTCATGAATATAGTTTAACCCAAGAATTAAAATGAACAATTCATCTATATTTTTGAAAAAAGTTTTGGATGTAGTCTTTGTTTTTATATGTCTGACCTTGAAGGAAAATTATAAGCCTTGATGAGTACCTCAGTGATCTAAATGTACAAACTAATCTAATATTTCGTCCTTTATTGTTACATACTGATGTCGTAAACAAGGTATGCCAAAAGTAGCTTTTTTCCTCACTATAGAATGAGCGACAGAGTGACACCTCACACTTAACGCATACAGAGGTCAGCGACATTGGGTGCTGCGAGCACCTGCATATTTTGACGCCAAATGTATAATTTGAAAAACTGATGTACTGAAGTTCAGGGAGGAAGACAACAGAGGTACCATTTGTATTTTTCAATGACATTTAATCAATTAAATGTATGTTAATTGCACCATTCTCCCTCTTTATAGCGCAATTCGTATTTAACTATAAAATTTTATTAACATTTTATTACCGCTGCTTCGCTTAAGCTGAAAATGACAATTGTATGTTTAAAATGTTTTTTCCTTCAGGAAACATGTACTAATCTAATAAATTCAAACTGAT